AGCGGGCCTTAGCGGGTCTTAGCGGGCCTTAGCGGGTCTTAGCGGGTCTTAGCGGGTCTTAGCGGGTCTTAGCGGGCCTTAGCGGGTCTTAGCGGGTCTTAGCGGACCTTAGCGGGTCTTAGCGGGTCTTAGCGGGTCTTAGCGGACCTTAGTGGGTCTTAGCGGGTCTTAGCGGGTCTTAGCGGGCCTTAGCGGACCTTAGTGGGCCTTAGCGGGTCTTAGCGGGTCTTAGCGGGCCTTAGCGGGTCTTAGCGGGTCTTAGCGGGTCTTAGCGGACCTTAGCGGGTCTTAGCGGACCTTAGTGAGTCTTAGCGGGTCTTAGCGGGCCTTAGCGGACCTTAGTGGGCCTTAGCGGGTCTTAGCGGGTCTTAGCGGGTCTTAGCGGACCTTAGCGGGTCTTAGCGGGTCTTAGCGGACCTTAGTGGGCCTTAGCGGGTCTTAGCGGGTCTTAGCGGACCTTAGCGGACCTTACCGGGCCTTCACGGACCTCAGTGAACCTTATAGACTCTGTTCTTAACACATTCTTGGAGACTTCTCAAGATGATGTGTGACGCGTCACTCATCTCTTCTTAGCAGTGTTCTCTCAGGGTCAGGAAATGTTCTCCTCCACAACGTGTCCGCGAGAGAACACACACTGAACATGTTCTCTGGGTAGACATAAGGTTCTCAGAGGGAAAACCTGTCAAGAGGCCACCCCCATTAACCTGTGTGTAGGCTAAACACGGCCTGTAATCGCTAGCCAGTGTGGAGAATCCCATTATATCTGTGCGCTTGGCTCAGTGTGTTTGTTTCTCGGCCTGCCTCTCCACACGACTCCTAAACGGCGGGCTTTTAGGGGTCAAGCTCTGACTTCCAAGCCCCGACTTTCCAGCTATCGCTCGCTAATGGCAACGAGTCTACGCTGGCGGTGATTGTCATCGTTATCGACTGAGCTACGACAGGGTAAAAGGGTTGAAACCGAAGTTCTACTGAACTTACTGGAACTTCGGTTTCAACCCTTTTTACCATGTCGTAGCTCAGTCGATTAAGGCAGTGTCTGGGATGCTCCCGGACGCAGGTTCGAATCCTCGTCACGGCCCTTGTGGATTTGCCATCTTTATATTCACGACAAAACCAGCATGAGTAAAGAGTTTGTTCTTTAGGAAAGGTGAGGCTTAGGAGGTAGAGCTTGACTCTAGAACCTCTTCTAGCGTACAATAACACCCTTTTTAGAGTTCACTGACAACCTAGAGTCCCACAACCAAAGATTTGATATATTAAACGACTTGAGACGCTCCGTTCTATAATTGGCACTAGAGATGCTGTATTTTCAGGGTTCTATGATGTTCCGAGAAGTTTTGATAGATTGAGAGGTTCTGAGTAGTTCAAAGAGGTTCTGAGTAGTTCAAAGAGGTTCTGAGTAGTTCAGAGAGGTTCTGAGTAGTTCAGAGAGGTTCTGAGTAGTTCAGAGAGGTTCTGAGTAGTTCAGAGAGGTTCTGAGTAGTTCAGAGAGGTTCTGAGTAGTTCAGAGAGGTTCTGAGTAGTTCAGAGAGGTTCTGAGTAGTTCAGAGAGGTTCTGAGTAGTTCAGAGAGGTTCTGAGTAGTTCAGAGAAATGAGTATTGCATTAATCTAAGAATGTTTGCAAAACGGGGTTTGGAGCCTAGCTTGACCCTGCAACCACATGAAGGACAATACACACACACACACACACACACACACACACACACACACACACACACACACACACACACACACACACACACACACACCTCTGACAAGTCTGTCAAGACGACGGTGGCCACAAGTCAAGAAGAACACGAATTAGTCTGGGCTTGTCTGGCCATGACCTGTAGATGGTGACCTCTGGGATGACCCCCATCAGGATGACCTGTCCACCTCTCTTACCACTGGTACACGTCGACATCCCCTTCACTACATCTCCTCCAAGACATTCCCTTCACCACATCTCCTCCAAGACATTCCCTTCACCACATCTCCTCCAAGACATTCCCTTCACCACATCTCCTCCAAGACATTCCCTTCACCACATCTCCTCCAAGACATCCCCTTCACCACATCTGCTCCAAGACATTCCCTTCACCACATCTCCTCCAAGACATCCCCTTCACCACATCTCCTCCAAGACATCCCCTTCACCACATCTCCTCCAAGACATCCCCTTCACCACATCTCTTCCAAGACATCCCCTTCACATCTCCTCCAAGACATCCCCTTCACCACATCTCCTCCAAGACATTCCCTTCACCACATCTCCTCCAAGACATCCCCTTCACCACATCTCCTCCAAGACATCCCCTTCACCACATCTCCTCCAAGACATCCCCTTCACATCTCCTCCAAGACATCCCCTTCACCACATCTCCTCCAAGACATTCCCTTCACCACATCTGCTCCAAGACATTCCCTTCACCACATCTCCTCCAAGACATCCCCTTCACCACATCTGTTCTTCACCTCCCTCACTCACCTTTCCCAACCTGTAAAGGAGGTCCTACGACGAACCTTCTCAGTCTCTAATTTTTGAGTGAAAACACATCATAACATTGTTTCAGGGCGGTGCCTGTGGCAGGCGACCGCTGCCTTTCGCGGGCGAGAACGCCAGCGCTAAACTAACCAGTTTACGAGAAACTGGGCTTGCCGAAGCGCTGAAAACTGTCCGTTAATCTTGCGTGAAGGAGCCGGCAGCGGTGAGTCGTGACAGTTGGCACCCTCGGGGCTCCTCTGGGGGGGCAAGAGATTTAAGGTTCATAACACTCCGGGCTCAAGGTGGAAGTGTGCCACGGTGTTGGGGGAGATGAGGTCATGTTTTATGCATGTGTGGGGAGGCGGGGAGCGGCCCTCCCTGACCTGGCGCCCTCTCAAACCCAGCCTCGCGTCGGCTAATCAGCCCCCTCACACAGGCTGCTTCGCCCTCTGCTTCTAGGTAGATTCAGGGGGGACCAAGGTGGCCCAGGGTGGCCCAGGGTGACCCAGAAGTACCCAAGAGAATCAGGGGGACTACGAGGGAGTAAATTCTCTCGATATGAATAAAAACATTAAAACGAAATTCAGGAGGATGTGAACCTAAAGTGAGCTGATTGGTCCCCTGGAAGCCATGCCCTCAGGGAGTGTGCTGATTGGTCCCTAGGAGCCATGGTTTCAGGGAGCGTGCTGATTGGTCCCTGGGAGCCATGGCTTCAGGGAGTGTGTTGATTGGTCCCTGGGAGCCATGGCCTCAGGGAGTGTGTTGATTGGTCTCTGGGAGCCATGGCCTCAGGGAGTGTGTTGATTGGCCCCTGGGAGCCATGGCCTCAGGGAGTGTGCTGATTGGTCCCTGGGAGCCATAATTTAGACAAGATACAAGCAACAAGCGTCCCCTGGCACGAACTATCCACCGTGTCTCTAACTGGTGAAATAAGCATAGAAGTTGCTTTTAAGGATCGTAACCACGGCCTCTCTGAGTGCCACGGAGAGCTCCAGCGTCTCAGACACGGCAAAACATTGACCAACACAAATATGGTATTTATATATGGTATAATTATCAGCCATCACCCAGAGTCTCCCCCATCACAGCTCAATGTTTATTGTTGGTTGTATGTTAGTTACTGCATTTTTAATAAAGCAAAGTGTGGTATATTTTACTGTATGGGTGCGTTATTAGTCGGTGTAGTAATGATGTACAATGATGTACAATGTTTGGCTCGTCCAACCTGTCCTCAGGCCAGGCTCGTGTAAACTGTCCTCAGACCAGGCTCGTCCAAACTGTCCTCAGACCAGGCTCGTCCACCCAGTGGTCAGCCCCACACACGTGTACATCAGTGTCGACGCACTGCACAGTCCTACTGTGTTATAACTTAGTGTGTGTAACAGTTAGACCTAACTTACGTTAAGACAGACAGCTGGTGATGTATGTACTTATTTGTGATAAGATTTTAATCAAGGTAACTTTTAGGAATTCAATCTAAATCCTCGAGATTATGTTAAAGTACAAATATATTTGTGTGTGTGTGTGTGTGTGTGTACTCACCTAGTTGTATTCACCTAGTTGTGCTTGCGGGGGTTGAGCTCTGGCTCTTTGGTCCCGCCTCTCAACCGTCAATCAACAGGTATACAGGTTCCTGAGCCTACTGTGTGTGTGTGTGTGTGTGTGTGTGTGTGTGTGTGTGTGTGTGTGTGTGTGTGAGCGTCCTGGCCACATGAGCCACTACCCTACACACCACTCAGCAGGAGCATCACGGCTCAGCTGCTGAACTATCAAGTCGTCGTTGTTATTGGTCAAGAATGTCCAAACGTTGAACATATTCAACCTATTGTTGAATGCAAAATATTATGTCCACTTAATTACCCTTCATTATGCCTTGTTCAGCTGCTTAGCGAACTGCTGACAGAACGTTCGTAATTATTCCAGTCCCAGGGGACAGTACTGGGTCCCAGAACCGGGTGCTTCCCCAGTAGGACCTCCAAGGGGCTGTACTGGGTCCCAGAACAGGATGCCTCCCCAGTAGGACCTCCAGGGGGCTGTACTGGGTCCCAGAACCGGATGCCTCCCCAGTAGGACCTCCAGGGGGCTGTACTGGGTCCCAGAACCGGATGCCTCCCCAGTAGGACCTCCAGGGGGCTATACTGGGTCCCAGAACCGGATGCCTCCCCAGTAGGACCTCCAGGGGGCTGTACTGGGTCCCAGAACCGGATGCCTCCCCAGTAGGACCTCCAGGGGGCTGTACTGGGTCCCAGAACAGGATGCCTCCCCAGTAGGACCTCCAGGGGGCTGTACTGGGTCCCAGAACCGGATGCCTCCCCAGTAGGACCTCCAGGGGGCTATACTGGGTCCCAGAACCGGATGCCTCCCCAGTAGGACCTCCAGGGGGCTGTACTGGGTCCCAGAACCGGATGCCTCCCCAGTAGGACCTCCAAGGGGCTGTACTGGGTCCCAGAACCGGATGCCTCCCCAGTAGGACCTCCAAGGGGCTGTACTGGGTCCCAGAACCGGGTGCTTCCCCAGTAGGAGCAGTGCACATACCTGGTCGAGCCGGCTGCAGGGTACGACACGTCGTAACGTCGACCACGTCGTGGCAACAAGTCATAGTCGTGCAGTTGTCGTTGTAAAGCGACGCCTATTACGGCCCCCTTGTTAACACGTACGCCGTTATTAGCCCCATATAACACCGATACACACCTGAACCGATAATATCTGCGTGGGCCCGCAGCCGCCGGGCCCCGCGAGGAGGCCAAACCTGATCCTTATCGTCTCTCCAACTGTGAAGGTTAATCGGCCAGCCGCCCCGACACAACTCGTCAAGACGGGCAACAATCAGAACCGTGAAGACTTCCACTTAGCAGTCTTGCCCGCCCTCCGCTGCCAAATGAGCGCGCGTCAGGCCAGCAAGGACCTGATGTACTGGTACACGCCCTATCACTTACCATCTGCCCAGTTTAAGACGTCTGGCCTTTCACCACATTTGTGTTGAGCGCATTGTCCCGGCCAGGTCGCCTGGTGAGTCCTGGCCAAGTGTGTCCCGGCCAGGTCACGTAGTGTGGCCCAGGAAGGGTGCATGACTGAGCACCCCATGCAGGCACCTAACCCACCCCGCCTGGAGGTTGTGGAAGAAGGCGGCCAAGGTAGCCAGGGAAGTGTGGGCTACGGTTATATGACATTAGATGGGGCGGGGAGGACTCTTGGATCACAGAGAAATAGACTGGAACCAAACATGGGGGATGACGAGACATGGAGAGTAAAGCTGATGGATACAGCGAGCAAATACCTTTTCCTTGAGGCAGCCCCAAGAGTGTAAGGAGCAGATGTGACACTTAGACCTCATGTTACCCGAAATGAAGCACATCTCGAGAACATGGAGCAGGAGATACCTGCAGGAACTATACTTGCCACTGTATTGTTTTGTAAAAGCATGTAGTGACGCCCAAGTAGGAGCTTACACCAGGCAACACGTCCAGGAAGGTGAAGGACTACAGGCGAGGGGGACTTGAGGAAGGTGAGGCCCTTCATGTCCAGTGAGAGAGAGAGAGGGAAGATGGGAGGGAAGATGGGAGGGAAGACAACGAATTAATTGATAAAATTTATTACCCCGACACGTGCAGATACCATCGAGCAGTTCACGCCACTCAAGGGAAAGAACCAAAGGATTATATATTTATATTATACATATATTTATACATAGATTTATATTATAAATTTCTCTTGTTAGGGTGATGTCTCATGTGACTTTCAGGGGGCACCTGTGTGAAGATGACAGGTCAAACGCCTTGTCAGCTTGGTCGACGTCATACCTATGTGCTTAGATTGAAGGTTACATCCTTCCTGGGGGCAAGTGTACATGTATACAACGCTTGACTGCTGTAGAAGGTTCTCCGTCGGCTTCGGCCTGTTTTTAAAAAAGTAGGTCGATAGTCTTCTTAGTTTTACAGAATATGTTCAGGTCTATGTTTTGGTCAGGAATTCAATTTCTTTTCGGTTAGGAGTTTTGCTTTTTACTCCTTTACGGATTATTTTTTCTTCTTTTTTAAATTCAATATGAATGGTTGATTTGCAATATAATTTTATTGGAGGTGTTGTGGTTTCAGTTCTTGGTTCAGGATTGTACCATCGGTCCAGGTGTCGTCTTATAGTAGTATTTATCTATTTGTTGCTATATCTATTGTTCACTAACACTTGCGTTATTCTTTCAAATTCTCTACACATGTTGCTCCATTCAGAGCAGCGGGTAAGCGCTCGACGAATATTAGCGTTGAGAACACTGGCTTTGTATCTCTGAGGGCACTCACTCCTGCCGTTCAGGCGTAATCCCATGTTGGTGAGCTTAGTACATACGCTGGTGCTTAGAGAGGCTCCTGTTTTTGTTATTAGTACATCCAGGAAAGGTGGTCCTCTTAGGCAAGTACCACAACCAGCACCTCCACCTCCACCACAACCACCACCACCTCCAGCATCATGACCACCACCACCACCACCACCACCACCACCACCACCACCACCACCACCTCCAGCATCATGACCACCACCACCACCACCACCACCTCCAGCATCATGACCACCACCACCACCACCACCACCTCCAGCATCATGACCACCACCACCACCACCACCACCACCACCTCCAGCATCATGACCACCACCACCACCACCACCACCTCCAGCATCATGACCACCACCACCACCACCACCACCACCACCATCATCCCCCCCCCCCAACCACCACCACCAAACAATAAAAGCATGTGAACGCCAGGTAGCCAAATTGGACCGCCCGGCTTCCACACACAACAAAAGAAACATTATCTTCGATTCAACTCAACAAAAGCTACGAGCCGAAGCGCGGCTTTTAAGACAAGTATCTGGCCAATCCTGATCAAAAGTCTGATCTAACCTGCAACTTTATGAATATCTAAACGATCTTGAATGAAGTGAAGACTCTAACAGCTGGCTTTTAGAGCAGTATCGCCTCATCTTAACTGAAGGTATAACTCTGAGAGCTGCTCTTAAGAGGAGTATCGGAACCCATCTTAACCAAAGGCACGAATTTGAAACAGCAGCACCCGAGACGTGTATCGGGTTACGATCGACTGTTGAGTGGGTTCCACCTCCGGCGCTGACGGGCAGCAGGTATCGTGGAGGAACCCCTCAATCTGAGAGACGAGCGGCGCCCGATACTCATCCTTATTGCTGCCGTATGTAAATGTCTGATCACAGAGGCGCTCGCAACACTGCACGCAAGAGCTGTAACAGGAGGCCCCACACACGCACACGCACACACACAGCATTAGGATGGCATGCATTAGGCAGTGATGTGGTGGAGGCTGACTCAATACACAGTTTCAAATGTAGATATGATAGAGCCCAATAGGCTCAGGAATCTGTACACCAGTTGATTGACGGTTGAGAGGCGGGACCAAAGAGCCAGAGCTCAACCCCCGCAAGCACAAATAGGTGAGTACAAATAGGTGAGTACACACACACATTCATGGTCGAGTGGTTAAGGTACCTTAGGGTACCATAGGGAGCCGGTCGGCCGAGCGGACAGCACACTGGACTTGTGATCCTGTGGTCCCGGGTTCGATCCCGGGCGCCGGAGAGAAACAATGGGCAGAGTTTCTTTCACCCTATGCCCATTTGTTTCCGCCTCCACCGGGGATCGAACCCCGGTACCTCAGGACTACGAATCCGAAGTGCTGTCCACTCAGCTGTCAGCTCCCCCCCCCCCTATAGATGTGCAACCCGTTCTCGCACTTTCTTATAGTCAATACTGATTTATTAAATACGTGCATATGTGACATAATAATTTATTGTGAATATTTTAGTTTACCTTGAAAAGCTTCATAGAAAATACCGACCTTACCTAACCTTCTTAGTATGTTAAGATAAGCATCTTATTGCTTCGTAATTACAATTATTACTTAACCTATACCTATAATTGGTTAAGTAATAATTGTAATTACGAAGCAATAAGATGCTTATCTTAACATACTAAGAAGGTTAGGTAAGGTCGGTGTTTTCTATGAAGCTTTTCAAGGTAAACTGAAATGTTCACAATAAATTAGTATGTCACATATGCACTTATTTAACAAGTCAATATTGACTTAAAGAAATTGCGAGAACGGGTTGCTGAACCATTGCGTCGTGACCTTCATTTGTCGTCCAGTTCCGTCACTCGACGATACTTCTTGAGTCGTCCTCCTCTCCGTTCCTTCCACCAAACATATTTCATCTTCCGTTCATCTGTCTCTATCTGTCTACTCCCTTGACCTCTTTTTCATTCCGGTTAAGTTAACACCAGGAGATGGAAGCGGGTGTCTGGAAGAGGAGTGTGGAGCTGCAAGGCGGGAGCAGGAGGAGCAGGAGGAGCAGGAAGGATTAGAATAGTGAGAAAGATCAAAGGCTCCAGACTAACGGATATCCGGGACTTGTGGTATGGGACATAGACGACCTATAGCGCCGCGTCGCGTCCACAAGACCTTCCCATTGGCCTTGTATTTCCATGATATCACCTGTCCCGTACCGTCGGGACAGGTGCCTATATACAGGTGACAGGTATATATTGCCTATATATATAGGCAAAGTGTTGCAAGGTTATCATCCATCTTCAGAAAACAGAGAGAGAGAGAGAGAGAGAGAGAGAGAGAGAGAGAGAGAGAGAGAGAGAGAGAGAGAGAGAGAGAGAGAGAGAGAGAGAGAGAGAGAGAGAGAGAGAGAGATAGAAGCTGGGAATTAATGAACAGAAACCCTTTCGGCCTTGAGTCTGCTGAGGGTCTGCGAAGGCCTCGGTGTTGATAGAGAGCATTAAGAACATCTCTGGCCTTGGAGTCTTCTGCGGCTAGTGATCAAGATGTCCCCCGGGACAAATCCACAAGGGCCGTGACGAGGATTCGAACCTGCGTCCGGGAGCATCTCAGACACTGCCTTAATCGAATCCTCGTCACGGCCCTTGTGGATTTGTTCATTTGATGCATCACGTTAGTGTGATCTCTGTGTGTGTCTCCAAGACGTTGTGTAGAGACTGACCGCGTGTGACATCAATGACCCCCAAACTGTGCACGTTATCTCCTGAAGTCTGGCAGCTTCACGGCACAGCTTCAGGTCACAGCTTCACGGTACAGCTTCAGGTCACAGCTTCAGGTCACAGCTTCAGGTCACAGCTTCAGGTCACAGCTTCAGGTCACAGCTTCACGGCACAGCTTCAGGTCACAGCTTCAGGTCACAGCTTCAGGTCACAGCTTCAGGTCACAGCTTCAGGTCACAGCTTCAGGTCACAGCTTCACGGCACAGCTTCAGGTCACAGCTTCACGGCACAGCTTCAGGTCACAGCTTCAGGTCACAGCTTCAGGTCACAGCTTCACGGTACAGCTTCACGGTACAGCTTCAGGTCACAGCTTCAGGTCACAGCTTCAGATCACAGCTTCAGGTCACAGCTTCAGGTCACAGCTTCAGATCACAGCTTCAGGTCACAGCTTCAGGTCACAGCTTCCATAGTTCTGTTCCAGCGGCTCAACAGTGAACTTGTCTTTGCTAAACTTCTATATTGACTCAACCGGCAGACGGCCTACAAGCGAAGACTTCTTCTCACTGAAGTTT